GTACCAGGTACAACTGAAGTTGTTACGTTGATGTTTCTTATTCATGATTTCTATACTGAAATATTCGGATAGGGAAAATTAAAATTCATACTATTATCTTAAAATCTAATCCCCGTGTAGATTTCTTTACGGTATATAAAAAATAAATACAATGAAATATATATATTTTTTTTGCCTTGTCATGACAATAATAATAGTTGCATCAAATCTAAAATCTGACAAAAATTTAATGCATGCATACTTTATAATATTCTTATTTGCATTTTAAAATCTTGGGCGTTATTCATTAAAGAAAATATAGATTTAGATACAAGAAGGTGGGATTTGTCTTGAAAGAAAATAATTACATTGTATCTCAGCATCTGTATATGGAATATAGATAAAGACAAAATTCTAAAGTTTTAGTCATGGCGAGTCGACGCTTTAGTAATATAATCCAGATGATTATCGAGTAAATGAAATGGAGTTTAATGTATATAATAATACTGTTCTGATCCAACTGGGCTAATGAAGACAGCCATACGCCATACAGTGCGCCGTGAGGGCAATTCCTAAAGCCAAGTGGTGTTTTACGTACGGGATCTCGTTTTTTTGTGCCATCCGAATGATTATACGTTGTCTCTCACGATTATTGAGTAAGTTTGTTGGTTGTATGCATTACAAATATTCATTATTATTATTATTATTATAACAGTCGAAACACCACGATTGATTCCTTAGTATGGCGCTGATTCACAGCCGGACTCAGTAACAAGGAGGTGCCAGGTTCGATCCCGCTGTTGACGTAGACGACAGTTCCTCTGGACTGTCCAGGTTGTTTTTGCCCTGCGGAGCGCCGCTGTGCGGACAAATTGTCCCTCACAACACACTGCATGCTCGTCTCAATTAGCCCGACTGGTGAAGAAAAGAAAGACGCTAAACCTCACCCCATTTCAATTTTGTTGAACATATTGATGGATCATTTATCACCTGACCACCGAAAGCGTTTTTAAAGCTTGTGACCTAGGTTTACACGTCAGATATCATGAGATATGATGCACTATTTGTACCAGTTTTCTACACATAAAAAAACATTGTTTTGAAAAAAAAACCAAAAAAACTTCTGATCAAAGGGAGTCTAACTCTTTTGATATATAAAAAAGAGTTTTGCGTAATGCTTGTGATTTTCGCAAGATAGTATCAATATAAAACATTAAAATGGGTATTCTTCATTCAGCTTTTGTCACTATTTCTTCATATACCAGTGAAGCTTTTTGTATGCCCACGAATTTCATTCATGCTTATGGACTACCTCTAAATGTGCGAGTAGACATTCGATAACATTCATGTAGTCAGTAAGTTGATTAGATGTTTCATTACATTTACCTACGGTATACCTCTGTGCCGTGAGGGAATTTACAATAATTACCAATAATTTGATTTGCTATAGCATTAATTATAGTACTATAAATCACATCGGCGATACAAATTTATTGTGAAAGCTTGTGACACATCTGTTAACATTTTGGGTTTTGGTTTGTCAATTTTAAAGCTTGTAAACGCTTTACAGATCGATCAGTCTAGGCTTGTATTGCGATATATTGCAATATTTCTATTTGCATTGTTATATGAAAACTGTGCAATATTTTATATTTTATCAAACTAATACGCATTTTCAGTTTAGAAATACTCAGAAATTGAAAAAATGCACACGATTAACAATGGAGATTTTGCCAAAAATGAGATATTTGCGGATGTGAAAAAAGGGACCATTTATTAAAATATTGTTTAATATTGACTTTGAGAAATCTTATCATAATATACTATTCAAAAAAAGTAGGGGATATTTGATTTTGGGGGCATAATACTAAAATATGCAAATGACTACGAAAAAAGTCACTATAGAACCTAACAGAAGAAACATTTCCAGTTACATGTGACGCCCAAACGCACCAATAGCTACCGCATGGAATGCAGGTGATGCTTGGGATCATCATGGGGGTCCAACCCAAGATTTGCACGACTCTGACTTTGAATGTTACAGTCATTGTGGCATTGAATTCCAGGGTGGAAACATCAGTTTAATTGTTTTAGTGACCAGAAAACAAATTTTGATATGCGTCGGCTTACCCAAAATGAAAGGTTACGTGCCCTTGGCATGCTACAGATCGGCACAACACAGGCGGTTGTGGCGCGGACGATGAATGTTTCTCAGTCTGTCATAAGCAGGCTATGGTCCAGATACCGTGATACACAATCTGTACAGGACAGACCACGCTCAGGTCGACCAAGGGCGACAACTCAAGCCAGGATCGATTTATCCGTACCTTGGCCTTGAGAAATCGTGTCATCACAGCAAATCAGATCAGCGCTCGTCTTCAAACAGACACTGGTGTGAGAGTGAGTGGCCAGACGATTCGGAATCGACTGCATAGGGGTCACCTTCGCGCCCGACGTCCTCGCGTGATCCCTTGTTTGAGAGATCATCACATTCAGGCAAGACGTCGTTGGTGTAGGGATCGTCAACACTGGGATAATCGACGCTGGAGCAATGTGATGTTTTCAGATGAGTCAAGGTTCACTGTTGATTTTTTGGACAGACGTAGGAGGGTGTGGCGTCGTCGAAACGAGCGCTTCCAAGACGTTAACGTCATCAGACATGATCGATTTGGGGGTGGTTCTGTTATGGTGTGGGGAGGCATCACTGTTGCTGGAAGAACGGCTTTACATGTTGTTGCAGGGTGTGTTACAGGCCAGTACTACCGGGACAACATCTTGGCAGTCCATGTTGTGCCGTTCGCACGACGTCATGGCCGCCGTTTCATATTCCAGGATGACAACGCAAGATGTCACAGGGCCAGGATCGTTACAGGTTACCTCCAACAACAGAACATCACCACATTACCTTGGCCAGCACTGAGTCCCGACCTCTCCCCTATCGAGCATGTCTGGGACATGCTTGGACAGAGGTTACGTCAACGTCAACAACGTCCTGCCAATGTCCAAGAACTTGCTGCTGCGTTGCAACAGGAATGGGACAATCTGGACCAAAATGACCTTAGACGTCTCATTAGGAGTATGCCACGTCGGATCAATGCTTGTTTGGCAAACAGAGGAGGATTTACCCGTTACTGACTTGGTTGTGATGATGTGGTAATTTTGCTGTTTGACCCCGGGTATCATTTTACCCTTATAATGGTCAGTCTGTGCCTTACTTAGTCTAACGATCATTTGGAATAAATCGATGAATGTGAACTTCATTTCATTTTGTCATTTGTTTCTTCGTCAGTTTCATTAGGTGACTTTAATAACACTTAAAAATCAAATATCCCCTACTTTTTTTGAATAGTATACATTAATATTCGGTATACTGTGACAAGTCTAGCTCACACTCCCAAAGCGTCATACTCGAAGAAACTGTATGGTCACGAGGACCGGTCACCTCTGGTGTACCACAAGGTACAGTCCTTGGGGGCCCTGCTGTTTCTTACATAATATCAATGACATGACATGCCAGAAACCCCAACTTCGTCAGAGACCAAATCATTTGTAGATGATAACATGCTATTTAGAACCACCAACAGCTAAACAGACAGTGACCTGGAATGAAATGAAATGAAATGGAGTGTAACCCCCTTTTAAAGAGAGCAAGTATACAGAATAGCTGTAACACTTTATAACAAGAAAGTAAAATATCTGATGTATAACGAAACTACTATGTCTACGGGAAATCCACACAATATCATACTTCAAAAATTCTAATTATTAATAAATGTTTAACACTTTTTGTCCAGATAATAATAATAATATATTGCATTTGATAATGCGCCACATCCACCCAAGTGAGTGCTCTGTGCGCGGTGTAGATGTGAAAGTAGCTGTAGAATTTAGTTATCTATTCAAAGTTTTGTTTAAAGAGGAAAGTCTTCAGTTGAGTCTTGAATGTAGAGAGGTTGTGACAGGACTTGATGTTGGGTGGCAGAGATTTACGTCAAGTCATTAGATGAAAGAAACATCACGGGGTCTTATCGCGGTCGTAATCACTGTTTATGTAATTATAAAAAAAATAACTGTTAGTGATAAGATCAATAAGGTGATATTGGGTATAAAAGGGATAGGCCTCGTCTTATTTTTATGATTACATGTAAAAGGCTTGACAACTAAACAAAATTTGACAAAGAATTGACATAACAGTAATATCACCGGCAGTGGTCTTTTCCAATCTGGTCAGAGGTAAATAGCCCAAATTCTTCTGCTCTGTAACACCTGAAGAATCATTACACGGTTGAAATACGAATCCCCCTTATAAATGAAATGGTATACGCATAAGCAAGTGGTACTTCTAACATTATAATTCATTCCTTCATTTATACTTTCTTTGGTTCAGAAAAGTAGGACGTTAAAACCAATCTCATTTAATTTCTTTGTCTTTAGTGGCCTATTTGGGTAATGTGCGCTATCTGTCACTGTATAAAGAGAATATACTTGTACATGTATTGTGAAATGATATCTGTAAGTCAATTTATGGAAATATTATAATGAAGGATAATATACGATTTGGGGGCTTTTTCCACATCCGCCTTAATTCATTATTGTCAAATAGTTGTACGTTGTATATCACCTGCCTATCAAGACCAGGTTAACCCAATCTGTGTTTAAATAATGACGATTAGATGACATTTTCGCAATAACTATTTAAACAGTTTTCTTAGAGGGGACACTGCGACCACCTACACACACACACCCTTACCAATACCTTGTTGCAAAGGGGCGGGAAGTTCGCCCTGTTCTTCCGGAGTCCCTTGTGGAACCTACGCATTTAACTAAATAAATAGATACGTAGTTTACAGTTTGCTTTCTTTATTTTAGAATGGAATTACATTCAGTAACCGGGACAAATTTGAAATGTACAGATAGAAGAAACAAACTAAAGTTTTAATGTTAAAACATTTTATCGATCGATATTTATAAATATAACAATGTCACGACAAGAGCTTTACGATGATAATATGAGTCGTATGTTCGCTAGACACAGAGCAGTGTATCTGGGTAATTTGAGTGGGTCTTGGAATTCTAACGATTCCAGAATATCATACCAGGTAAGACCTTTTTTTAAAATACACCTAATTTAAAAAAAAATAAAATAAGATAAAACGCTATCGTTAATTTGCAAAGTTATGGGTCCGTTTCCTTTTATCTTAATGAACATAGTATGCTGCCAACATTAGAAGTAAATTACGCAATTGAAAAGTGTATCAGCCCAGTACGAAGTGTTTTGTGCCATCGGAAGGCTGTTTATCACTTGAGAATTTACACAACAACAACTACAAAAACAAAAACATCATCAAAAACCAAAACAAAACAAAAATGGTATTACCATATTATAAATTATTGAAACAATGATTATTTGTAGATGACCGAAATGTGAGACGCATTATAGACCGTCCAGCAATTTGTTTTACACACACTAACTGACGTAATCTATAAAATAATGCTATTTTTATTTTTTGCGTATTAAGCGCAACAAATTGGTTTGGCAAAGAGACTGCATTTAATATCATTTTATGTAGTTTAAAAACTTTTGTGACCCCCCCCCCCCCCCACATCACACCACCACTCACCCGGTCAACTAACACCCCGACCCCCCCCCCCCCACACCCAAACCCTGAGATCCACCCTCCTGCATTCGAAAATCCCACAAACATCACTGGTCATATCACGTTACATTTATTGTATTTAGGTGTTTGTTATAATATACGGCATTATTTTAAACATGATATTTGATTAATATGGTTTCCATGGTAAACCAGTTACTTCGTAGTTTTCTATCTTATTACCAGGATACACTGTAATAATATATATATATATTACAATAATATATGTAGTTCATAGTTAATGAAGCATATTAATTGCCTGCAGTGTTGTTTTTACCGACAAAGAAAGTATGTCTATAGTAGCGGGAATAGCACAAAAACTGAGGTCCGATGTAACAATATCTAGAAACTCGGCTTTACCTATATTGTCCTGGAATGATTAAAATAGTATTAGTCTCAAATAAACTAACGAGGCTTTAAATTTCGTAACCATATATTCAAATATATATGGGTGGAAACCTCCCGGATGTCTAGTTAAAAACTCCAAACCGTGCACGCCCGTATTATTTTTTTCAGTTAATGTAAATTAATCTGGATAATTTGTAAACGTTATAAATTATCAGCAAAGAAGAACATTCGAACCTTATCCTACTACAATGCATGTTATTTGATCGTTAATACCAAGCAATGACCAGTATTTGAATAGCGTATTAAATATCCCTACTGTCCACATCAAAGTCTAGACAAGCAACGCATCTTTAAAAAAATCTTTATTGGGTTATTGGTAGGTGATTTGCAATACGTTTAATTTTGTTTGTTTAATATAACTTGCTTTACATTATTTTCAGAAAACCAAGCAGTGGGTTGATAGTAACATGTCGTCCTTTGATTCCTCCGATACACCGACACCGCAAAACAAATCCGGAAAATCCCTGAAAAAAATAGTGAAATCTTTTGCTGAAAGGACGTCCATGCAGGGTGTTCCAAATATCAATAACTCTAAACACTGGTTCCAGAAGTTAATCTGGTCTGTTCTGTTGGTGGGGTCCATGGTGGCAATGACCTTTCATCTTAAATTTTTGTTTGACACGTATTATGCTTGGCCAAAACATTCAACGGTGTCTTTAGGATTTAATAGCCTCGAGTTTCCAGCAGTCACCATATGCAACGTGAATCCAATCAGACAGTCGAAGATACATTTGGGTTCTGCAGCCTTGCGAAACATCGTCTCTGTAACCAGCCCAGAAAATATTGTGAAAAAGATGAACGAACGTAAGGTAAGTGTCTCCATTAAACATACATTAAGCAAGAGCTAAATCTGCCAATTGCAGCAGATCTTTCTTTAGGCCTGAAATGTTATCTAAATCATTAACTAGACATTAAGTAACTTATCCAGACCATAATAAACTCTCGATGGCATCGCTAGCCTGCGATATTTACTGGATTAGAACCCGATCTGCTGCTCAACGCTCATTGATAATTAAATCAAAAATGGATAATCGAGACTTTAGTAATGATGATCGAGGCTAGGCCCAAAATACAATCGCTACATTCTCGGTTCAGAGTGGATCAATTTGACCTATTATAGTGAGAACTGTCAGCTCTTTGTCTAATCTTCCATAATGTATCTTTAAGAACTGGGTTTTTTTTATTTCCGAAGCATGTGCTACTTACCTTCATATCAAGCATTTTGTATGAATTGGAAAAACGAAGATGGACTAATATAATAAAGAGATTTTGAAAATACACACTTATACAGCATGACTTTAATTTGCCAAGAGCATGATGTCCTAATATAGAGATTACGCTAATACATTAATGATTTAGTTTGGGCTAAAATTTATCAATGACCAATTGTCGTATGAAACTCAATGATAATAATAACAGACAGAAAAGGATAAATTGTTCCTTGGCGCAACCACCCAAGTACCCACTAAGGGTATTTGTCCTCGTTCTTAACCCGAATGTGCTTGTTGTGGAGTGTCACTCTGTTCCTCCTGTGTATTGTTTAGCCGATGTAATGCAGCCACCAACCACAATAACGTATTGTGTAAATTTCATTTTAATATATAAAACTGTCCCCATTCAAATTTTGAACGTGTCATGATGTTTTTTAAAAAGATTTTGTATGGACGTTTTGGTAGAGTATTTGGTCATTTTCTCATATCTTTGCAAAGTTTGGAAAGTTTGAAACCAGTTTGTGGTGACTTTTCATTTTTTTTCGGTTCGTAAACATGTTTGAGCGAAAGCATTGCATTATCAGTTAAAAGCATTGGCTATTTTCGGGTAATCAGAAAAGCTTTTTATTCCTCCAAACGCTTTCCATATGATTGTATAAATACGCCTAGCAAGATTACACGGATCATACGAGTCAAATTCTCAATATACTTTTATGTATCAGTGATTTTGTAGAAAATCTATGTTTATATCCTGTTTTGTTCGTTCATAACCAATATACCGAGAACGGGGATTGGTTTTGTATTTGGTTCCTTTGTGGATTTTATTTTGAAGTGGTTACTGTTAACAATGCCATTACAAATCAAAAGCGTCTCATGGTTTTGTAACCATACCATAAAACAATGGTCCAGGAATCTCTTCCAGTTATTGTATTCTGGGTGGTTTCAGTGCCATTTCCAAATTTAACATCCAGGTACGGCAGCTGAATTATTAAAAGAATTGTCAGTTCACCCCTTTCAACACCACAAAAACAAATTCGAGACCAAAATAACGTATAAGTCGAAACAGGTCAAACAAGAATTGGACTAAACTGTATTATATTATCGAAAACAACATGCCCCTTCACGCCATAGACGTAGGATTTATACTCTTCAAAAAAAGTTGGGGATATTCAGAAACAATACAAAACTGCGGAAATGCACTGCTGTTTTTATTAGAGGTAATCAGTGTATGTTAATAATAGGCCAATTGCCTAGACATGAACATAAACAGTTCATATGGGCGGCTTGTCTGACGGTCCCATTTCACTCGCAAAGAGATACACTGTCAAATGTGAAAATGGACGTTTTGATTTGGGGCAATCTGACCAACTCCTCTTGCAGTGCCACGGCCAATTCTTGCAGTGTTGTCGGTTGACGTTGACGTCGACGAACACGTCTCCTGATCATGTCCCAGACATGCTCTATAGGGGAAAGGTCAGGACTCATGGCTGGCCAAGGCATATGGACAATATGGTGACGCTGGAGGTAGTCATTCACGACACGAGCGCGGTGGGCACGGGCATTTTCATCTTGAAAGATGAAACGTCGACCTGCACGTTGAGCAAAGGGCAGAACTATCGCTGCCAGGATGTGGTCACGGTAGCACACACCAGTGACCCTTCCTTGAACAATATGCAAGTCCGTTCTGCCAGTCATGGTGATTCCTCCCCACACCGTAACAGACCCATGCTGTCTGACGTTAACGCTAGTATGACGTCCATTTACACTCCTCCAAACGCGAGCACGCCTGTCGGTGAAATCCAGAGTAAATCTGGACTCATCTGAGAACATTACACGCGCCCATCGACGATTACCCCCTTGTGCTGGCGAGTCATTGGCGGCACAGCACGCGGTCGCCGCGCATGCAAATGGGCTGCATGTAGCCGATTTCTAATCGTTTGGGGTGTAACTCGAATTCGTGTAACTTGGTACAAGTTTACAGGAAGCTGATTGGCCGTTTGTCATCGATTTCGAAGGACCTGTGTACGAATGTATCGATCCTAGGCTTGTGTAGTGGTTCTAGGACGACCCGAACGAGGTTTTTTATCAACATTGTGTGTTTGTTGGTACCGGTTCCACATTAAGCATGTTGGCAAATGCTCGCTCTGTAAAACCCATTTGAAGCATGCCAATAGCACGTAGACGTCCATCATGTTGAAGACGTCTCATCGCAAAATATACGTAACACACTAAAGCAAAGATACGCTAAACAGTAAATCTTATGCAAGAACCGATAGGAGAGCAAATATGGATAGGATAATCCAGCACGTGGCAGTTTTCATCAACCCTTCCTTGAAGTGTGAAATTTGAGAATGAACCCCTTCCACGTGTATTGCGCTACGTGGTTCTGTTGGGGGATAAGTTCTTCATCTGTGAACATACTCTCAAAGCATGTCAAGTGTCCATGACTATTCATCATATCACAACCTGCATAGGTATTTGCATTTCAATATCCCCTATTTATTTTGAAGAGTATATTTTAGTTCATGTCATGCGATGCCATAATATGGACTACCCCTCCCCTTCCCCCACACACACCTAATTATACGTCCTTCCTACATTCCCCCCCCCCCCCTCGCCTACAGACATGCCTTCCTACATTCATCACTCTGTTAATTTTATAAAAACCTGATTATACAGTTTCTGAATCTAAAATAGAGTAACGCCTCTCTTCCCCACGCGCTTCAGTCCGAAAATTCTTATTCCGTTGAACCGTTGATAGTGATTTCAACCTTTAGTTGAAATTGAACCAAGGGGTTTGCACTAATACCAAGAATTACAATACAGTTATCAGACACGTGTCACATCAAGTATATGTTGTGACTTGATTTGAAGGGTAATCATGTGTAAAACGTCTTTGGTGTACAGAGTTTAGTCTATTATATAAAGATTTGATATTGATGAAAGCTCACTTATCTATCAATTGTATCTGGAAATTATTATGTTTAAATATGTTCTTTGAATGCGAGCTATATACACGGTTCATTAACGAATAATTACATTTCGCAATGAAAGTACCTAAATTTTAAAAGAATCGGGATTGAAATTAAATGACACTGTTATGTCGTATACAATAATCGTGGGGGTTTACATCAAACGTCAAATAGACTTTCGGATTTTCAGAATTTAAATTACCAACATTTACCATGCCATGTAATACCACCGCGGCACACTATATGACATCAAACCATGCCATACTATACCACAGCATACCGTATAACATAATATACACATCACACCACATCAAATCATACCATAGCGTATACCATCACATCATATTATAGCATATGGCATCACAGAATATGATATAATATAATATTAAACTCTACTGCATTGTGCATATACCAGACGGAATCACACCATACTATAACACATCACACTATAGAACAAGTCATATCATACCATACTATGTATTCACATTCACACCATAGTATATTATATGACATTCTATTCCATCACACCACACCCAATCGTCATAACCAGTCCTTAATACGATTTCGTTTCGACTTTTGTAAACACATTTTGAAAATATCAGCACCGACACATAATTATATTTGTCGGTGACAAATATTCCTTAGTGTGCGCGGGCCTTTATATAAATCCAAAGCAACTGGTATATATATTTTTACTAGATATTATACAAAACCTTGTTATCGCTAAATATGGTCGAGTTACCTGTTCGCATGGCTAAACAAGAATTATATTGGCAATCGAGAGGAAGGGGAGAAGAAGGTGCTGTAAACAATATCTTAGACAACAATGTAGCACAGTAGGTGATAATCTAGCCACAATAATCTTGAGAAAGATGAGGACTTGTAGAGCAGATTAACCTGTAATTTGGTACATGATTTTAGCTATGTGATAGATATTAAACCCCTTTATACATCTGAACATGGACAATTACACAAATACCAAACATATTGTTATAGAAATTACTGAAAATCCATCATCAATAAAACACTTCATTATCGTGCTGTTTGACATCTTATCTGTATTTTCACTATTTGTAATATATAATAAAGTAATTTGGGGTATTTGTAAAATGCGTAATTCCAGGACATTGACGTACCATCATTGAACATGTCAACAATATCGATAGAAGGGTAGAGTTTGACTTCATGACATAAATATTTAAACTATTTCAGAACAAAACAGCGCAAGAACAGACAACGGGAAATATAAGAGTTCGAAGAGAAGTTACAAATTCACCCCCAACAACAACAACAACAAAAACAACAACTCGTAGCACTATTGACCGAATCCTCGACATTTTGTTTGGGCGTAAACCCCAAAACACAGAAACTAGCGAGGTTAGAAAACCGAAGCTTACCAACTGTCTCTAATTCGTGTCATCTAAAATATATTATATATCACATAGCTAATAAACTAACATAACAATACTTTTAATTGATGTAAATGTAACTACATCCGCATTTAACTAACAAAATGTAATAACATACCTTCATAATTAAAATTATAGTAACAGCAGGAGTCGTGTGTGGTTTGGGCCTTTCAAAACACAGGGATTTCATGTTAGGACTGATTGTGTATAGCGATTCAGTCAGATTGTCTGCCAAATATAACATAATTATATCTTTACATACACGTGTAACCTATACTGGGTCCATGTCTTACATTATAACATTTTTACATGGTTATGTAAACTTTTATACTCTAACCATACCTAACATTATAACATCTGTACATGCTTATGTAAACTTTTATTATGTAGCCATACCTAATATTATAATATCTTCTAGCATTAAAACATCTTTATATAGTTTATGTAAACTTTTATACTGTAGCGATATCTAACATTATAACATCTTTACATGTTTATGTAAACTTTTATACTGTAGCCATACCTAACGTTAAAAGATATTTACATGTTTATGTAAACGTTTGTATTGTAACCATAACATTATTATACTGTTCGGCGCATGGCATTATTGTAGACACACACATTTATTTATCCTCCTTGAATAACGGTATATAGGGGTTTTTGAAATGCAAATACTTATGCAGGTTGTGATATGATAAATAGTCATAGACACTTTGAGAGTATGTTCACAAATGAATAACTTATCGCCCCAACAGAACCACTGGGCTGCAAGTGCGACACGCAATAGCGCCATACACGTGGGAGGGGTTCATTGTCAAATTTGACACTTCAAGGAAGGGTTGATGAAAACTGCATTTGCTGGTTTATCCTCTCCATGTTTGCTTTCCTATCGGTTCTTGCATAAGATTAGCGTATCTTTGCTTTAGTGTGTTACGTTTAATTTGTAATGAGACGTCTTCAACATGATGAACGTCTACGTGCTATTGGCATGCTTCAAATGGGTTCTACACAGCGAGCAGTAGCCAACATGGTTAATGTGTCACAGTCTGTGATCAGTAGGTTGTGGAACCGGTACCAACAAACACACAATGTTGATGATAGACCTCGTTCAGGTCGTCCTAGAGCCACTACACAAGCCCAGGGTCGATACATTCGTACACAGGTCTTTCGAAATCGAGGACAAACGGCCAATCAGGTTTCTGTTAACTTACACCAAGTTACAGTAATTCGAGTTACACCCCAAACGATTAGAAATCGGCTACATGCAACCCATTTGCACGCGCGACGACCGCGTGATGTGCCTCCAGCACATGGAAAACAGGCGTCAATGGTGTAGGCAGCGTATAAATTGGGGTAATCGTCGATGGGCGCGTGTAATGTTCTCAGATGAGTCCAGATTTACTCTGGATTTCACCGATAGGCGTGCTCGCGTTTCGAGGCGTGTAAATGAGCGTCATGCTAACGTTAACGTCAGACAGCATGACAGATTCGGGCGTGGGTCTGTTATGGTGTGGGGAGGAATCACCATGACTGGCAGAACGGACTTGCATATTGTTCAAGGAAGGTTCACTTTGCTCAACGTGCAGGTCGACGTTTCAACTTTCAAGATGATAATGCCCGTGCCCACCGCGCTCGTGTCGTGAATGACTACCTCCAGCGTCACCATATTGTCCATATGCCTTGGCCAGCCATGAGTCCTGACCTTTCCCCTATAGAGCATGTCTGGAACATGACCGGGAGACGTGTTCGTCGACCTCAACGTCAACCGACAACACTGCAAGAATTGACCGTGGCACTGCAAGAGGTGTGGGTCAGACTGCCCCAAATCGTGATTGGACGGTTGATTAGGAGCATGCCACGACGAATTGCTGAATGTCTGAGGATTGGTGGAGCAAATTACTAATTATTAAGACAAAAATCAAAAGGTCCATTTTCACTTTTGACAGTGTATCATTTTGCGAGATAAATGGGTTCGTCGGATAAGCCGCCCATGAACTGTTTATGTTCATGTGTAGGCAATCGACCTGTTATTAACATTCACGGGTTACCTCTAATAAAAACAACAGTGCATTTCCGCAGTTTTGTATTATTTCTGAATATCTCCTACTTTTTTTTGAAGAGTATATATTGAGAATGTTGCAATTTCAGCAAATACTTTTTTTTATTAGAAAAATGTTTCAATTAACCATTTAAATACATCAGGTGATATTATTTGGATTCATTTCTTATCCCACACTTCAGATTTTATCATGCTTAAATCTACATTATAATATATAATTTTATATAATGAAATGCAGTTTAATAGAATGCGACAAAAAATGTTGGTATCAGGAACGGAGATCTACAGAATATTTCTTTCACCTTAAAGAAGACACCCCGGTTTACAACGGGTCTCTGAAAAATGTTCGCTCAAGTAATGCGTTCGCCTATTAAGCCGATTGGAAATGATGACGAAAACAGTTTTTATGGAGGTGGCCTAACTCGTTTAGAGTGCCTTCCTTCAATTTTTCTTTGAGAAACCTGAACAACAATAACTGGCAATATCTATACCCGAGTTATAGACAGGTTTATCCAACAACGACAACTGGAGTTTGATATTTTGAAAATAACCAGTGTTATTCACCTTTCTCAGAGAATTAACCAGTTTTATTCAATGAAATGTATATGGGACTTCTCCTTTAAATGAACATTGTGCTCGTTTGTTCATTCTTCTCCTATATAATATTTCTACGCTACACTAGCCATGTTTTAATAATGACAAAAGTCACTCAGCTGACTAACAGAAGAATGTTCTCTCAACCTTATAATTTTAGCTTTTCTTTCAAATTCACTCTTAAAATGCTAACCCTATACATCTGTTCCAAGAAACAAATTCCAATTTATTTTTGCCCTAACCACAAATAAAAATGTGTAGCTTATGGCATAGTTGGTTTTGAATTTTCCAGTTAATTTGAAATCAGTACAACCCCGTAGGCGTGAATGCGACGGTTAAAATGACTAGCTTACGGCACGCTACACTTAATGATTAGATCTATATAATACAAGATATAAATGAAAATTATAACCCAGTACTTTTTCACACATCATCTAACTAAGCTTTTTAACATTTTTGATTCTAGCACCTACGCACTTCAAGAAACGCTAAACCAAAACGGAAGGTATTGTATTTGACAATGTGTACGCCCGTCTGTTACGGGTATTGTCGTCACCAGGGCCTTCTTAACGCATTTGACTCTCGGCAGTTGCCCGGGGGCCCCACGGGGATATAGGCCCCATGTTTATGTATTTGCTGTCAATAAATAAATACTAAACTGCACTAAACAATATATATTTGTTGAATAATTTCGTCCATCATTTACATTTTTATTCTTGTAAGTGGTTGTGTATGTAGGGCCCGAGTGCATTGCTTTGCCCGGGGGCCTATAATGGTGTTAAGACGGCCTTGGTTGTCACCCCACTTAATTCTTTATAGAGACTACAATATTTATTTGGTATTTTTGGTATTTATATATTTGTCTCCCTAGTTAAGATGGCGAATAATTGTCGACTGCAAGAAGAAGAAGAAGCATATTGATGCTATGAATTACATAATGAAACACTTTAATTTCTTGGTATTTGTATAGGCCATGAACCTTTCAAACAAAAGCCCTATACAGAGGGAAAGAGGTTATGATAATTCATTCAAACAATAGGTTTTGATTTATTTATTATTTTTTGATTTTGTTGTTATTGTTGTGGGTGGTGTGGTCAGCACAACTTGGCTTATTCTATTAATTCTTACATAATTGCAAATTTCTTTCTTTGTTGTTAGTAGACTATTTCGCTTGCTATTTGTTTTATTTTCCATATTTACTTATGAGATCCAAACATTTATTTGAAAATATGAATAATATTATTCTTATACAGCAGTTTTCTAATTGATAGGCAATCACAAATAAGTATAAATGTAAACTTTTACAATAACATATATAAAAAAATAAGACATTTATATTTGTTGGAAAGTAAGTTACCTTTAATTTTGTCCATCCTTGATAACTGTAGAAAGAATCGGAAAGTGAAGAAACAGAAGATGGGAATATAAGGAAAGGAAGCACCGAAGCAGCTACAAGTTTACTTACCGAGGGATTTTCAACAATGGTTACCGAGGAAACTACCAGACACAAATCTACAACTGAATATTTGTCAACAATGGCTATTGAGGAAACTACCAGTCAAAAATCCACAACTGAATATTTGCCAACCGCGACGTCCGCGGGTGTGGGGGACGAAAGGGGCAGTGCAGATAAGGGTAGCACAGAGCTTGTTAATGAAGAGGGGGGTGAAGAAATAGGCTTAGTTAACACAGTCAATCTTAAACCAAAACAACCAGAGAACAAAGACATTATACTTTTACCACACACTACAACAACGGAGAAACCCACAATTACAGTAGAACCCATTATACCAACTGAGAAACCAACTACAACAACTAAAAAAACAACTAAAACAACTAGAAAACCTACTGAAAAACTGACTATGACAACTGAGACACCAACTACGACAACTGAGAACCAGCCCAATACAACTCAAATCGACAATTCAAATTCGCAAAACAGTGCCGAAGAGCTATCGTCCAAGGGGGCAAAAACGAAACTAGCCGCCAAGAACATCCAATTTCAGATGGTTGAATCTAAGAATGGTATTAAACTTCTAAATGATATTGAACTAGATTTCCAAAATGTTCGAAAGCAAGTAAAGGCTGAAATGGAAAGTGAAGGGGACGCAGAAGCAACATCATTAGCTTTACCTCAGCAATCTATGATGTCACAAATAATAGAAGAGTTTCAATATTTGTTCAGTCAGGAACAAAGGTAGGAATTTAATCCAAGTTTGTTTGATTTTAACGCTAATATCGGCCCTGTCGTTTTTCTTCAACAACTAGGAATGTCTCATCCTTAAAACACTGATGCACAATTCAAGGTGATAACAATCACGATATATCGTCTGTTTACTGTTATCGTTTAACGTTTGGCCATTGCGATATACATTAAACATTATGTTATTATCAGGCGTTGTTGTGATTTTGTCTATACCGACCAGATACGTTATTTGCTGAAATGAAATAGGGTTTAAAGTGCAACTTCTACACACCGATCAGGTAGATTGACGGGTAAACGCCATGTAATGTGCTGTGAGGGTATTTTGCGCCTTATACTCTTCGTTGAAGTCCAACTGTCAAGTCTTCTTTGCGTCCAGGGGTGATCCTCAGGTTTTCGTTCCACCCAAACAACAAGACATTGCTGCTCACCTCCCCAAGGAAATGTCTCGGCCAACAACCGGATTGGTCACGGGATCTTCCTGTGAGTCCGTGCCATACTTACTGAGCTACCGCGGTCCCTGCGTTATTTTTCATTGTTCGTATTATTTGTATTTCGAAGTTAATTGTAAATGAAATACTGTGTTTTACTATATTTCAGATCTGTACGAGTTGCAATGGGTCATCAGCTAGATGATATGTTAGTGGATTGTAGTTTTGGTGGACGAATCTGTCATCCACAGTGAGTAGTCACTACGCCCTTGTGTCATTCGCCCCCCCCCCCCCCTTACGAAAACACAGTACAAAACATAGCAATGCATGCTTAGATTATTAAACAAAATATAGTGTTTTCGTGGAAAATTTAAATTGTGTAAGGTGACTTGCATCCTTACAGTACCGATGGAAAAAGAAGTTTTTTTCAATGCAGTGTCATCCCTCCCAAGGATCAATATGTGCAATCTTTGAAATAGTTCTAATAATGTTGATAGAATACTTTGCTTGAGCCCCGTTTTCCTCGAATAAGAAGCGTATTAATGTATTAATATGAGAATAATTTCAATAACGGAACATAATTATTTTTCAGGAATTTTAGTTTACGTGCAACAACTGGTCTTGGTAATTGTTTTACTCTACAACATAAAGGTCTGGTTGCTCAAACAAGTGGCTTACAGGAAGGTACGTTATGTCTGATAATTGTATCATAACATTAAAGTTTCCGGACAATATTTTTTTTACATAATATACGCTAAAATTATGTACACAGATTGATCATGTAACATTTGATCATCGAAACAAAAACCCAAACGTCAACGGTAGATAATATCCAGGCTCGGATTAAATAGAAACCCATGATTAGATTTTATCCAACACTGATAGGCGGCGCTAGCTTGTTTACATCGTCTGCAAAGCGGAATTAAACCATTTTTGGACGGATATTACTTTTAGTTTCCCAACCTTTACAATATTGAACCAGGACTAAAATATTTCTTTTAGAGCTTCAACTTTCACGATATATATTGTATTTGCGACTTTTTAAAAAATCCCCCGAATTTTCTCCTTAATTTTTTTCTGATTTAAATATATTTATTTACAGGAATGCAACTGGTAATATATCTAGAAAATGGGGAATATTTACGAGGTTTAACAAGTGGGAATGGCGGTCAAATTGTTATACACGATAGGGATTCCTGTCCTTTTCCACAAAATGATGGTATAGCTATAGCTTCTGGTACTGAATCAAATATTGGTTTAAGATTGGTATGTCTACATTAAATATAAATATCCCCTTTTATTCACATATTGTGTCTATACGTGCTATACGTTTTTCTATTTGATAACGGTGTGGGAGGGGGGTGGATGGCCGAATGGTTAGCAAGCGCGCGCTGTATTATGCGGTCTGTCATTGAGTCAACTGGCTGGGTTTCGATTCCCCGGTTGTACGTGACAAGGAGTTAAGTCACCTGTCCAAACTCGTGGGTTTTCTCCGTGTCCACTGCTAAAAACCCCTACGCGCAAGCGAATTATTGAAATAAAATTGGAACCATGTGTTAGTCCCGAAATGACCTTGTTTGTGTCGAATGAACGTTAAACCCAATTTCTCTCTCTCTCCCTATTTGATAACTGAAGATTGGCTCGTAAAAACAGTATTGTGTAAAAGGGCAATATTGGTACCAGTCATTATCACATATGTGATAGAACTGGTTAAACACGTTCCAAATATAATTTTAACACAGAGATCATTGCTACGATAGATGTACGGTGTAATCAATGTTTCAACAATCGGAAGTGACGAACGCAAAAGGAAAACACGAGTTATCCCTCTATATAACTGACTGAAGTGACGAGTGATAACAGATACATGGGCGAATTTCTGCTTGGAGATATGTTTCACTATCCTTTATTTTCAGTTTATTGAATCAATATAATTACGGCTTCCCCCGTCCATTTTTTACAGACTAATAAGAAGCTTTATATATCTTCCACGATTTTCTGTTCTTTGAATTAATATATTTTATATTTTTATAATTTTATTTTTAATTTTTTGTTTTTTTAATTTATTATTATTTTTCTTTACACCTGCATCAGCGATCACTCTTGTTCACTTATACATACACACTTCTCTTTATATTATTGTTTATCTATAGCTCAGGTTAATCGTATTCCATTAACGGTGTTAATACACTGATCTTTATAAATATAGCATTCACCTCCTTTTAATCCCTGTAAGAGATTTTCGTTGTGTAGGTTTAGTTCCTAATGGCCCCCTAATCAAAGGTGTTAAGCTTTAATTGCATTTGATTATTATCTTTGTTGCACATTCTGTATATATATTTGCCCACAATTCACATATATATTTGTATCATTTGCTTGATAAGCACGAGAGTATCCTCGTCGAAACGTCGCTTAGTATCAAACTCAGTAATTGTGTATCCATAAAATTGTACATTGTGTTCATTTAGTATACTATAATATCGAAGTACATATTATATTAATTGCAGGTAAATATAGAGAGATTGGGGTTACCACATGGTACATGTGAAGAAGGCGATTTATTTAAGGAACAATATGGATTTAAATATACTAGACAGGTAGTGTTATATAGTGTTACCTACATGTTTGCCCCGGAATTGCCTCTTTAAAGCTATGACAGCGTTATTCATTAGAAGTTTAGAAAGACGTTGCCGAATTTTGTAACCATGGGATAATTTAATAACTATTGATTTCAATTTTTAAAATGTTTGGGACATGCATTAATTAGTGCCAACTTTGAAAATAGATAGTTAAATATATGTTTTAAAAATTTAGCCGGATGCACTTCGTTCGGGATAAGGATGAAAAATATACATGTCATGTTTTCACTTGTTTTTATTTGGTATTAGGTGCAGGATTTTATCAGTTTTAATTGATGTTATTTAAGCATGTATTTTAAATTACAGGCATGTCAGGTATTCTGTCTACAAACGTTAATTAGTTCTATATGTAAATGCTATGATGAAGATGAAGAAGAGTTAAACATCATCGCTCATATACAAGAACACTATGATCCGTGTAGAAATATTAGCGGTAGGTGCTCTATACACCAATCTATTCAATCAAACAAAACCTCGATATAATCCGATTCCTGTATTTAAAGCTTAGCGTTCACTTGTCGGGGGTATATTTAGAGTAAAATCATAAATCATAATAAGGCAAATTGTAGTAATTATAAAACAGTTCATCATCCCTACTGTTTGAGATAAATTGACGCAATACATAATACACGCCACTAAATTTAACTAAAGATATGATCATTTATAATCTCCTAAATATTTAGCTGAAGACTTGGATCGCAACTATTTTGGCATTTTACCACTGGCGGCTCGATTACAAGAACTGGTTTCCTGTATTTGCGTCACATCCGGAACTTTAACGTAGACTTGGACACAGTAAAAAAACTTTACTTTAAGCATTATTTTTGGAATCTGTTGACGGCCACATTGTCCTTTAGTGAGATAATATTTTACGATTACCCCATTTTACTTTCAGAAATTAGATGTATGCTCAACATACAAAGAGATTATGAAAAGGGTGAGCAAAAATGTGAATGTGATAATCCTTGCATGTAAGTCATTTTAAAATATTCACTGAAAGATTGATAATTAAAACTGTATTTTGAATTATGTGTTCACATGTCCATTTGTTCCAGAATTTCATATAGTATCTTTACTTCCAATTTAGGGAAAAAATGACCAAATTTTGGATAACATTTTTAGATTAATTCATATTTTATCAATAAAATCTAACGTATATTTTCCCCAGAGAAACCAGATATCAACATACTATTTCTGCCAGACAATGGCCATCTGATGAGTACACGGTAAGTATTTTATTATTCAATGATCAATAAAATCTTAGCGCTTTTACTGAAAAAAAACCTGTACAACTTAGCACCCCGCTTCCCCACTGCTTTTAATTGCAATTAGTATGCTCATTTAACTAATTTATTTGACAATCGTTTTTTGAACAGAACATCCTACTTACTGCTTTATGTGAGAAGAAAAGTCCCGAAGAATGCCAAAGATTAAGGAATATGGAGCCCAGGGAATTAGCGTAAGTAGACATATATAAAATTGGTAGTTTTCTATTTAAAGTAGCTAAGTCTCTAACTCAATATCATCCAAAATCTTCAACATTGAAAACACGATTTATTTGTCAAATTAAATCAACATTCATGTTGTGATCTTACCGGAAAAAGATGGGCTTTTGATATCCAATATTTAAGACAAAATAAACATTTTACCATTGGTACACGAATCGTGTACCATAATGCGCTTCAGCCCCAGTTGTATCAAGAGACTCGAGGGACGAGGCTAGTAGACACATTGCACCAAATCAAACGGCGCCTGTAGACTGGAATAACCAGACGCTAGAAATTTGCACTCGATTGAGACTGCTGGCTTATTTCGCCGAACATAACTGATTTGAAATTGAAGTAAAACGGAAACCATTGAATGTAAATCAGTTGATATACATTCATATTACAGTATTATATGCGTTGCGACCCACTTTTGTCAATTTCTAGCTCCCAAATGTTAGCGATTTAGCTCCTTTAAATGTTAAATGATACCTTTGGTTTCATATGTATTTATACTATATTGTTGGCAATTATTTAAAAATGTATGTACTTCAAATTTTGATCTCAACAAGGAGCTCTCTCTCACCGTACAGATACTATACAATGATAAGGTCTATATATAAGTTCAGAATTGTCTCTTGCAGGAATAATTTTTTGAAAATTAATATTTACTATGAAGATCTGAATTATGAAAATATAACAGAAGAAGAAGATTATGAGGTAGGTAATTTAGAGCACCATGCAGAAATTGAAAAAAACGATAACCCGGGGAGGGGGGGGCAGCAAATTTCAACCATACTTGGTCTATGGGGACCCCTAGGCGACAGAAGTCACATGATGAAGTGAAAAAATTTTGAACGGACAACTTCCGGTATAACTGGAAATTGTTGTTTTGGGGTAAAAGTTGACATATTTCGACCAATTTGTTACCCTAATTTCAAAACGCTCCTACCCGAAATGTCGTGTCTCTAAATTTTTGATATTGGTCAGGTATGATAGGCCTAGTAGTCGTCTTAAAATCCTGCAGTCGTTTGGGAATGAATGAATCATGTGGAATTTTCTCCGAGTGATCATAAAGTGGTCATTTTACATATGTTTAAAACTATGCTATCCTAAAACGCATGTAGCTGCTTCTTTGCAGGTCTGACATAGAATTGCTTGGTGTGGTTGTGAAGGGCATTTCTCAAAGTAAATGTCAAAAGAAAAAAACTGACCGGAACGCAACCCACTAGAGTGCTGTAATATTCTGAAAATGTGTAAAAACGGTATTTTCCACGAAATTCGTCTTTTCACTGTGATCGACTACTATTTTCAAGAGTTCAAATGACCGTTGATTATGAACATTAGTACTATTTTTGTTACTTGAACGTTCCTTGTGCCAAATATACTATCTTGGTTAAAAATCATGAAGTTTTTGTGACAAAATCGGACGTTCGCGGTCATCGTAGGAAAGGGGCTTAATTGGTGTATAATATTGCAGGATCAGGCAACGATTATTCTCATCTGTATTCAGTAGTTAGTAGCACGGAAGTGCATAAATGCAAGGACTGGCATAGCAAGCTTTTATTTTAGCACAATTTAACCAAAGCAGCACCTTTTCAGCAATGACTAACGATTATCTTCAAATGACTACTGATCATCACCATTACTTGTAATATTTCGTAATTTCAACGTGAATCGTGTCAAATACATCATTTTGTTTAAAATCATAATATTTTTGTGACAAAATCTGACTTTCACGCTTGCTTGATAGCCATAGGGAAGAGTCATAAGTGGTGTGTAATTTTGCAGGGATCAGACCACTGTTAATAAGATCTGTATTCATGAGCAGATCATCGTATAAATTTGACTGACATGACTATCATAAACTTGATATCTTTTAATTTGTACATCTTTTCATGTAAAGAAGAACCATAAGAAGAAACATTCAGAAGTGTTCATGTAGGGACATTTAATGTCGGGTATTTAAATCTCTGAATCATGGCATAGATCACAACAGGATTTATGGCACTCCAGGATAATGTTGACCGCATGTGCCAAACTCCTACATATACCTACGTTCGAGCAGAAGTGCTCACTTATTTAGATTCCTACGTTCGAGTGTAAATGCTCTCTGACCTTCCTTCAAGGTTTTTGGACCACAGAGTACTGTTTTATTTTGTAGTACTGTTTTTGACCTCTTCTCCTTCAGGGATTTCAATATGGAATTATCATAGCCTCCCGATCTGTAATGCCTCTCCATGAAAACGTACAAATGTTTCCATACAATGATCGGCTACCTAATACAGATGGGAATAAGCTGGTCTGATTCCTAAAATATGTTTGACCAAACTAACCTATTTGGCACAAGGAACATTGGTAGAAAAGGTGTTGTATAGTCGTCTTGCTGTCACTGGATCATCTACAATCCCCTCGTCCTTAAAATCTGTTACAAGAGCGAACATGTACATCCCTCAGAGACACTTCTTTTACCCAAGAGTTAAAATATGCTTACACTGAATCGTGTATCATATTTCACCTTTCATTATATCATATTTATAGAAGACGATTTGTTCTGTTTAAATTGCATTGGACATTCATGAAACTTGTCCCTGGTCTAACATACAGACTTTAGACTTTAGATCCTAAGGTCTGTCATTGAGTTATGTGGTGTGACAGCATGCCGGTGACATGGTGTGGTGTTGTTTGTCCAACCTCATGGATATTCTCTTTTCCCACAAGTGTATTATTGAAGTAAAATTGTACCATATGTTAGTCCCAAAATGACATAGTTTGTGTTGAGTGGACCTTAAACCCCATTTCTCTCTTTTAAGTCAAAATCACCCTTGTTAACGAATATATTAACTTTGTGATGATGTCCATAGATACAGTATGCATCACCATATTATGCTAGTCCCAAAATGACCTAGTTTGTGTCCAGTGGACTTTAAATCTCATTTTACTTTGTTCCTCTCATGTCTAAATCATCCTTGCTAACGACTAAATGGATTTGTAAAGATGTCCATACATATACGCCATCTGGGGTATTGATAGACGGGACATTTTATCCTAATTTTTGGTGTTTTTAATATATTTCTCCTGTTTTTATTATGACTGTTCCGGTCATTTTTATTTTTTATTTTGTTAGTAGGAATGTTGTTAGTTGTGGGTAACATTCAACTTTGGTCCTAGTCCCTGCAAAGAACGAGCTATAGCCTCTTAAACATTGGTTTTCATTAAATTCAATTTTCAGAGAGAGTTGGGTATCCGGCCAGTACAAAGGTATCATTAGCAGTAGAAACTTCAAACACAGTGTGAAGGAGGAACCTGAGTGGTCCCACTAATGCCCAAAATTTTGTCTATCCAAATCAATTATTGTCCGAATAGCAGGTCATTCAAATTTGGATCCAAAATTGCCTATTTTTGGCTTATTTTTCGATTAAAAAATACTTTTCCAATTTTCCAGATCGGTATCAACTGAATACATCTAATATTTTGGGGGGATGTATCTGGGTACTAACCCATCTCACAGAAAAAATTTGGTCCAAATCCCTGACCCAAGGGTTATCACCCCCTGCATGGTGCTCTCGCGGACACACTCATAATATGTACAACAATATTCAGAGAGCAACGGCCTGTCATAACAATCACTATAACGGGCGGGGAGGGGGTGGGTGTATATTATTATTAATGGGGAAGTTTCTGATTTTACAAAACACCGTAAATCAACTTCCAAAATGTGACGATATAGCCAACCATCTGCTTTATCTAAAAATTTCATATCAAAAGGAATTTCATTCTGTAAGTGATACACACTTGTCTTACCAGTATATAGACGGGAGTACCGGTGGCTCCGAGAGTAAGACGTTGGATCGCCAATCTGGAGGTCGGGTGTTCGATTTTCCGGCGTAGTTCCCCCTTGTCAGTGGTGCATTACGTGGGATCTGACAAGGGCAAACGTATAGTTGTTCGGATGAGACACGTAAAAGAACCATTGGCAGATGGAATATGAAATTATCCCAGTCGGTGCTGAACAGTAGGACGTTAACCCTCATTTCATTTCATTTCAGTATATAGACATGGTTATCTATGGTTGTTCTGTTTATTTCAGACCTCCCAGTTTATATCGGATGTTGGTGGTACTATTGGTTTGTGGGTTGGCTTGTCCATGTTGAGTATGTTTGAAGTGGTTGAATTCGTCGTACAGATACTCCAATTCTTTACATTTTCTCTGTGGTTCCGGAAAAAGCCCAAAACAACGAAAGAAAATACACAGCTTTCAACGCATCATAAAACATGGGATGGATTGTGAAAGTTTATACCACGTCCTTTACCATTACCTAGAAGATGTAGTCTTGCATTAGTCTTTATACTTTTGTGATCAATTAGGAATGTTTTTATTACATGATTATTATTGCATACGGTGACAATGTGTTAGTTATCACATTTGTATTGAGCATTTTGTTAAATTTTCGAACCCAAGTCATTGCATCTTATCCCATGATGATGGAATATTGTTGATTTTGTGTCTTCTACTGTGAGATATTATAGCACCTGCGACAATTTTTACTTGTATATAAAAAAGATGAATTTCTTTAAAACATCTAGTCGACGCCATAGAAAAGAGCATTTTTAGACGTATACTAATGATAAATATTTTTTAATAAACGATTCAAGTGAATACATATACATTTCATGAATTTTAGATAATTAAAGGAGGGATATATCTATCTATCTATATGTATGGAATCCTGTATTTATGTTGTTTCTGTGAAGTATTATAGTGGTTCGTTATCCCAAGGTTCGAATTTTGGCACATATCTAACCTAACTTCCTGGATTATTGCCCCTGATTGTACGGAAATCGCCTAAATCTTTTTTTTTTTTACAAATGCTTCACTCTTTCATTTTGTTTTCAAATTCGATGTGTAGCATTGGGACAATGAATCCTATCGATTTTTCCTACTTTCCTATATCTCTTGGCGTGTCTTGTTGCATCCCAAGCCATGTTTTAGAAATGGAAATATTGTTAGAATTCTTTTATAGCATTATATAAATATATTTATTGTTTGTATTTCAATAAACTTATGTACTAAACCCCATTGTATTAAACAGAGGTTTTTACAAATTAGAAATGCGTTTTCTCTGGGTAGTTTTATGATAATAACTTGATTACCATTAACCGCGACTTTGTAGGTTGAACGTCAACATATGCTGTCAAAAAACAAATTATGTGCCATAAATCAGTATTAAGAAGAGTTTAATTAACATCAATACATGTCGATCGATTTCCACTTATTTTCAGACATTCAGGCAAAGTTTGACACTCGGTAGAATTAATTGAGACCTCGGTTAAATGGAGCTCTGACTTCAGTGTAAGGGCCCCTCTGTCTGTGTCCAGTCGAAAGGCACACGAATATTTTAATTCAGCATTTACAATTGAAATAAGTTTTCACTCAACCTCTCGAGGCCCTCCAGCTGGCGAAGGTCATTTTTCTTTTGTCAACTGTGTTTCCAGGGAGTGGGTGGTTAACGATTTTAGAACCACTTTCCAATTACAATACTCTTTTTGTTCGTTAATCGTGAAGAGTTCAGTAAGACCTCGACAAAGAAACTCAATGGTTTGAAAAAGCTTCCCATATTCTTATTAATCCTGTGTTTCACCTCTATTAACACTTTTGCCACGGCAAGATGTAAGTCTGATGCTTTACGTACAATCGATATTCCGAACTTGTTTTTCGGGACTAACATGTATATTAACTCGCTTGGGAAATCGAACCGATTGGTGAGGGGTGAGGCCACATCCATACAAACCATGCCTTTGGGGTAATTAATTTATTTTGTCAACCAGAAGCTTTCTGACGGGAAATAATATTTACCAATTTCTGCATTTACCATTATACCATGTATTTAGTATATCTATTTAAGTCATTTTCTTTTGACTGTATATAGTAAGCTGAATAACAAAATAAAAACATATTTTACTGCCGGGTGTTATTGCCAAGCCAAGGACTCTTTCTTTCAAGTCCACACAGAATTCATGCCAGCCCCATAGCTCAGTGGAAACTTGGGCTGAAAATTGGAAATGAAATGGGGTTTAACGTCCTACTGGGCTAATGAAGACGGACATACGCCATACAGTGTGCTATGACGGAAATTTTGCCCGGACAGCGGCACTACGACTCACTCTTAAGGTCTTGCGTCCCATCCGAACAACTATACGTTGTCCTTTGCCAGGTCCTCCATCCTGCACCATTGACAAAGGGGAACCACGCCGGAAAATTCCGATGAACTTTCTCGGTTAAAACAGGGATCGAACACGGGACCTCCAGGTAAGCGAGCCAATGTCTTTCTCACTGAGCCTTTCCCATTACTCTTCTTCCAATTCCAACTGTGATAAAAAAAAAATGACATATTATTGCCGAATTATCATTGAAATTCTGACAAAACGGAGGCATCAGCGTTATCATATAGGTACTTTCATAACAACTTTTAAAAAATATTAATCATAGCAGGACTTTTATTTATTTATAATGTAGGCCTACCTGAATAATCCAATTTTTTTCGTTTAAAATGTTATTAGTGAATTGATTAAAACTAGGTGACGCACGGACATTTTTTCTGTTTATTTCTGAATTCGTAAGAGTGAATTTTTTTTATGAATAGTTGGTTTTGGACAGATATCATAGTCTCATATAACGACGTCTTCACGGGAATTAACAGTCAGTTGAAAATCCTATGTGTGGCTGTTCACATACATCAACAATAACGGCTATCCTTGATTTGCGTCACTTACCGGTTCTTCAAATCTATTACACACCCTCCCCTCCAGCAAGCATTACAGATGTAATTCACACAAACTAGTAGCTTGTGCATATTGCGCTTGCAAACTTGGAATACACATAGATCACTTGGTTGTATATTTGATACAACAGTATAATAGATTTTCAATACACAGAGAGCAATCAATTCTATATTAGGCTTGCAATACACATAGACCAGTTGATTGTGTATTATTCTTGTAATCAAAAAAGACCAGTCAATTGTGTATTATATTATACTTGCACTGTATATTACACTTTCAATACACATCGCCCAATATTGCACTGGTAATTCATATAGACATGGAAAGTGTTCATTAATAATCTAAAATACATAGTTACAGACATTTTGCTTGTTCCATATCCAAACTTTATATCCATACAAAATTTATAAATGTCATAAAACAAATGATGGATAATTGAAATTGGATACATTGGCGTAATACCGACAAGAACGAACTATGACTTAAATAGATAAACGATTAATATAACCGACAGACGAGGAGAAACTTTAACTTACACTGGATAAACTATTTATAAAACTCACAGACAATGAGACAAGAATAAACGTGTGATAGATATAATATGTCATGTAACTCGTATCCAAAACTCGGCTCAATTGAATGAAAATTAAGGATGATATGCAGGTTGCAAGAGTCTGTGCATGTTTGAACAAACCATCTGTTTTACCAATGAGTATGATATAATCGTGAACATGGAACAAGACGCTGCATAGACGTACCGACAAGAAACATCGGTGAACTGATTGTTTTACATGACATATACATTTAGTCTTGTCTGTGGGTTCTATAAATTCTGTATCCGATCTAAGCAATAATAGCTCACCCCTGTCCGTATCACGCCGTTTTGTCAAAATTCCAATTGTCCATAATTTTATGATACAGTATTTAAATTTTGGATATGATGTGTAAAATATACTTATCTATAATATATCTTTTCTTGTCACTTTTGGCAATACTTGGGACGAGGGGCGCTCTTGCTCATGATTGGTTTAGGACCGTCTTATTCACACTAAGCTATCTAGAGCACGGGCACCTGTAACGTGGAAATATTTCAAAAACAATATTAAGCTATGACTAAGTTAAGTCTAAAGTCTGTTACGTCCATGGTCATAAGTGAGATTATCAAATAACTAGTCGGATTCCAATTTCTAACTCAGGGGCAAATAACTCGTCTGAAACCGATTCCCTTTCAGTGGAAATAATAATACCAAGGTTAGAAACGGGTTGAAATTAAATAATTAGGATAAAAGTTCACTACTCTAAATTCCGTCAACCAGTACCAACACTTACTAATTTTCGCTAGGTAAACACGTGGGTAATTTTAAAAAAAATCATCGTTGTGTAGGGGTTGGGGTGGGGGGGGGGGCAAGGTGCAATGTCTAGTACGGATGCGACTAAAACACGAGGTCCCGTTTACACGTTGGCGTACACCATATCAAGTTACTTTATATTAAAACCCAGCTTGGTTCTAGATAGTAAGATGCTTCAACAATATAGTTTCGTCATATCACCACCGTCATCACTACCCTCACCATCAATGTCAATCTTTCCTTGATATAGACCTGGGGATAGAAAAGTAAAACAAAAATAAGTTAGCTATGTGAGCTCTTCAAAATTTCTAGTATTGGGTTCCAGATAGAATAAATTTCTAAATTGGATTTAGACTTCAGAAACCAAAGGTACTGGGTGAGTCACTTGCCTGGTGGTGTAAATACAAATGCACAGCAGAAATTACAGAAAGGTTATTCCCATCGAAAATGTTATAAGGTGTTTCAGAAATACAAATCACACCCTGCCTCAGACACAAGGCCAAAACATACTTAAATAAACTATACTATACTGTCAGAGAATAACGCATCTCAACCCAACAAATTAATGTCGCATGAATTTTGAGGACAATGAACCATTCCCGCATCACAAGTGAACATATCAGCAGAAACGTTTTTAGTCTGAGCGCCATGGAAAACGCATCACTTAGTTTTTCGTATAACAAAATGATCCTGTAAACATATTTATTTTGCTTCTTATTGTGAACAATATTCAAATGGGAACACATCAGTAACAACACATTTGTACACTTATGGATGTTTAATCTGTAATCAACGGTACAAAGTCAGAGGGGTCAAAACCAAAAGTACGACACAGATGTCAGTAGCGCGTGTGTCCTCCATGGGCTCTTGCACACGCTGTGCAGCGACGTCGCATGGAATTTACCAATGTTTGAAAGAAGGCCTGGGGCAAATTGTTCCATTCTTGGACAAGAGCAGCTTCTAAAGCAGCAATGGTGTGCATCTGTGGTCACGATACAGACGGCGTCCAATCTCATCCCAGACATGTTCTATCGGTGCCATGTCCGGAGACATGGCTAGTCAGTCCAAGACATTGATGTTGTTAGCAGCCAGGAAGTTCATACTAAAACGGGCGGTATGCGGACGTGCATTATCCTGTTGGAAGTGCTGAAGTTGTGGGTGCGCTCGAAACATCGGAACAACAATTGGTTGCAAGACATCATCACGGTAGGCTACAGCATTAACGCGACCCCTGCAAATGTGTAGGGCGGTCCGGTGATGAAATGTGAAGCCTTCCCACACCATTACACTTCCCCCACCCCATCGATTCGTTTCGAAGACGCAGCAGTCTGCAAGACGTTCCCCAAGACGTCTCCACACACGTTGACGGCCATCAGCGTGATAAAGATGAAATCGACTCTCATCACTGAAGAGCACACTTTGCCAGTCTACTCTTCTCCATGTCTGGTGTCCTTGAGCCCATATCAAACGCCGCTGACGGTTATGATCCCTGAGGATAGCTCCAACATAAGGACGTCGTGCACGGAGTCCTACTTCTCTTAGACGGCGTCTTACGGTGTTGGCACTTACTGGTCCTTGTCTTCCGACGACTGCTGGACCTGTTCGAGTCGCTGGGCGGAATCTGTCACGCAGATGAGTGACCCGGATGTAGCGGTCTTGAACCTGGGTTGTAACGCGTTGTGGACCAGGACGTTGACGGTCACGTGTTGATCCAGTAACTTGAACACGTTCCACCAACCTTACAATAGTGGACTGATGACAATTGAAGTGTCTGGCAATAGCACGTATAGACATGCCAGTCCTGGACATTCCCATGGCTTCATTCCATTGATTTTCAGTAAGTCTCGGCATCTCTAGCTCGATTCCTTCACACGTCCAACAACACATTACGACAGATTGACGTTTCACAGTTCATGTACTGCACATTAAGTTGAAAACATGCTTTTAAAGGGCTCACACACAATGCTGCATGTGAATACTGGGTTTTTCATGTGCATCTCGTGCTTAAGTTGACCAACTTCAGATGTCGCCAAAAACACCAAAAAGACAACCGCAGGGGCGGATGCAAGAATTTTTGCAGGAGGGGGTTTGCCAGGTTCCTGAGACAATGTACCCCCCCCCCTCCTTCCGCATGGTCTCTTTCTTCATTTTGGCGTATACACATACACATTGAGCTTTTTAAACAGAGAAATTCAACACCTCGTTTAACGTCAATTTTTATTATGAATTAATACAATGACATTGTGATTCAATTTCATGGATGCAAAGCATTAATTGTGATATCACATAATGTCTATATCATTGTCTCGTGCTTTGAGTGCCCATCCTGTCCCACATCTGACGATAAAGGATAAAGCACACGGCCGAGAAACTTTTCTCATAAAAAGTGTTGATTTACAAAAAAATTTATGTACCCTCACACTATTTTCAAATTTCATCCTTTATCCAAACACTACACCCACCCCTCCGATTTAAGTGAAACTTAAAAGTCTATTTTATGCTAATATCGACAGGAAACGAGATCTTAGGGTGATAAAATCGGATAAAAATTGTGACCTGTAGAGTGTTCACAAACAATCGTGGACGGACGGGCGTCCGGACGGACGGACAGGGGCGACGACAATATACGTCCACATGAAAGTGTTGGCGTATA